GGGATACAAATATGATACAAATATGATAAAATTCGAAAATAATATTTAAATTAATATTAAGGGGATAAAAATTGAAAAAAATTTACAAATATGACATTAGGGTATCTTAGGGTTGCCCTAGCGTTTCTTTCTTTTATATATAAGATATATATATATATTTTGTAGGACCTCAGGCGCTACCAGTTGTCCTTGGCTCTGATACCACTTGTAGGACCTCAGGCGCTACCAGTTGTCCTAAAATCAATTGGTATTAGGAAATCCGCAAACCCTAGCCTTATAGTGCATTCAACACACACAAGCGCCCACGGCATTCGACTGTGGGCCGTCCATACCCGGACCTCCACCACGTGAACAATTGCTGCCAAACCCAGGCTAACATAATTATTTTTGAGAGTGCAACCTCTTGTAGGTCATATGATTTTATGAAAAGAATATTCCAGTTGCTAATGACTTATTTATTTTTATAGTTGTAATAACCAAAAAATAAATGAAATTAATATTTTATTTTATTTTAATAAGAATAAAGGGTAAGGAAAAAAACTGGATTAATTAATTTTATTTTACTTTTCGCCCCTGAGGCCTGAACACGCAAACTATATGGTCAGACTAGGGTTAGTAAAGTCAAATGACTAATTAAGAAATTGCTTATGAAGAGTTCCTAACTAGATGGTATTAGGTTTTCTTGCACAGTTGTATATTTTGTTCTAGAAATTTCCATTGCACTTATACGTGGGAGTTGTGTACGTAAGTATACATTTATAGTCAGAATTAATTAGCATTGATAGATCATGATTAGTTAACGTTAAATAATTTTAAACTAAATTCAATTTTCATAAAATAATTAATATAGGTGGATACAGTCAATTATTATTTGCCTATATTCGACCATGCACACTATATTATACAAACACGTTTTCATCTATATATAACTGTGTGTGCTGTATGCATCTATATATGTATGCATTAATTCGCCATTATTTAAAATCATCAATCTATTTTATCTTGTTTGTATAGTCTTTCTAATGTATGTGACAAACACACACCTGTATATATATCTATCTGATATGCATAATTGGGCAAACCCAATGGGCCTATGATTCCTTTACTTATTGGACCACGAACTCAATATTAAAGACCACTATTACCGAGGCCCAATCACCTTCAAGTAAGGTTTGGGCCCAACAATCTTGATTAAGCTATAAATAAAGGTTTGAATTCATTCCTTAAGGTACATCCTATTATTTGAGTAATACTACCCATTGTATTCTCTGGACCATTTATACTATCAGCACGTCTGACTTGAGCATCGGAGGGGTTTCCGCCGGATCAACCCCGGCCTAGTTCACGTGTTCTATGATCGCAGGTATCTCAAGTTCATCAAGCTCGTGAGTCAGTGATCCACTCTGCTCTTCCAGTTCATCCTACTTTAACTATCTAAGGTGATCTATCTTTAGCATCATCAATATCATATATATGCATGGATGATCAGAAACATGTTACCATGCATGCATGGGAATAAAACTAATCATTGGATTAGGGGTAGAAATCGGACAAATCGAATTGAATTTAGCAATTTCAGAAAATTTCCAATTTGTTCGGAAGTAAAATAATAATTCCAATTACGTCAAAGAAATTTTGAAAATAAGAATTTAGAAATTGGAAGTAAAAAAATTGTTACTCAAAATCGGGAATTTTTTGATCAGGCTCAACTGAATTCGAAAATTTCATTCCAATTTCTACTGACCAGATCATCACTATCTATAGCTTTCTCTTGATTAAAATAACATTTATTTATATTTTGAGATGATACAAAATACACTGTAACAGTCAAATCATGTATAAATGTATCGTGTTTACGTGCTTAATTATTTTAACTAACGACTTTTTGAATCCCCAATTGGCCAATTAAAAAAGTCTTGAAAAAGAAAGTTCTTTTTTCAGCCCTTGGAAACTTCTACCACCAATATTCTTCCATTTATTTTATCCAATACAACTTCTTCGATACGTGTAATTAATTAATTATGTTGAAAATTGTTAGTAATTAATTAAATAAATAAATAAATAAAAGGATTGGATTGCGTATACTAGTTTGAATTTGTACTCTACTATCATCAAGGTCAAGAAAAATTAGGATGGACTAATTAAAAATCAAACCACAACAACTTTAACCTTCTCAGTGGAGATTAACCAAACTCTCCTGACAATTTCAAAAAAATATTATTCAAGAAATATAGAAAAATGCAATAACTTTCCAGATTGACCTATCTACGAATTTAATCCTCTTGAGTTGTCATTTTACAATTTTAAATGCAATTCTTTTTAATAATTTTGCATTTTTGTCATTATCTTTTAAAAAAAAAGTTATTAATAATTGGGTAAATAGCAATTACCCCCTAATTTTTTGAACTAATTTGTGCATATAACTCTCGTGTACTTTCAATATAGCACATATTTCAGGGGTTGTCGTAATTTGCGTTAAAATTATATGATTTTCTACTGTTTAATTGATTATTA